CGTTATTCAGCCTCTCAGCAGCGTATATGTATAATCTTCTTCATTGTACAGACAAATAAAAAAGGTTAATTAAATCGTTGAAAATGAAGCTCTAGACTGTGTTTTGGAAGGCATTTCAGGAAGTAGTCGAGAAGACCTCTGTTGATGCTGGCCGCAACAGCCGAAGGCTGAGTAGCACCCTCGAAAGCCCTCAATGTGCGTTTTAAGTGATTTATATGAGAGCTTAAGTTAGAAGAGAACAGGTAGTCACAAGAACCAGCGCAGGCAGACCGGTAAGGCTTCAAAAGATGATCTCTTCTGCTGTACAGATTCTAGTGCAGACGAGGTGTTTAGCTCTGCAAAAGTGGCTCAAACTCGCTAAATAAATACAGCTTAAGGACCCCAAAAAAAAGAAGAGGCTCTGAAGAAGGAGACCTGAAAGTTTCAGCAACAGAAGAAGGCGGCGGAGCAAAAGCTTTCGCTCTACAGAAGAGGAAGCAATGAGAGGCGGAAATTGGGAGAAAACGACGGATGACGGAGGCCGTGAAGCAAAATATGGAGATAAATTGGCACTATTAACAAGAGCTGAAGATTTTGACTATGGAAAAGCCCCAGAAAATGCAGAATGAGCGACGGGTGGCCCCTGAGGGTCGCGTGAGGAGTCAGGATGCTCACGCCGCAGAAATTGTCACTCTTCCGTTCACACCAGAGCGGACCATAGCATTGCAGGTACCAAACCCACTATATAATAACGCAAACAACAAGGCAATGATAACCTCAACCCACATATCCTGTCCTCAAAGGCCCTCTTTAGCTGTTGATAGTGATCGGGAGGTAGTGGGTGCATTTCGGGGACTTGCGCGATCGGAGAGTAACAGAAGACGACCTCGATGACTGGATGACTTCAAAAAATATTGAGTGAAATCTTTGAGCATTATTAATTTCTCTTATGAGATTTTAGAATAATTCAAATAGTATTCGTGGAGTTATTCTCAGTTCTTTACTGGAATGCAAGGGAGAAAAAAACCGGCGAATCACCCGATCCGGCAGATCATCGGAAAATCCCTTAATTGGCACGGGTACCCGTGCACCTATTGGATCCCCGCTGTTGCCTTCCAGGCAACAGCTACCGGTAATGCGTAGGCAGGCAACAAGCCTTTCATTTGTGTATAAAGAGCTGCACAATTCTCTGCAGCTCATTCACTCACTTCTTGTTCTTTAGATAATTCTCATCAATTGACTGATGCCATTCAGGTCGCTCTGCACAGCCGCTGTCGTGCCAGGTGTGGGCCGTAACTGTCTGACAGGAGCCCTGCATTCAGTTGATTGAATTGAGTGGTTTGCATCCTTGATTTGGTACATAATTAGGAGGCTGTTTTAACGCTTGGCAACGCTGTTGCTTTGTATAGTGAAAGGTGGTTGGCTTGATGGCGAGTTTCTCCAGTCGCCAGCTCAGCGGTGTCGAGATCCTGGTGAGAGCCACCAGTCTATATGAAGTTCTGTTTTCCTTCTGGCTGCTTGCTTCGTCCGTCTTCGACCTAGGCATCCACCGTCACTTGGATGCCCTGTCACACACAGACCAAGTGCCATAACTGTCAATTGCGCACCACTTGCTGGAGCGCGCGTTCTACTTTTGGTGCAATATGCCCTCTTGCTTCCTGTCTTGCTTCTGCTCGCCCAGGCACACCTCTGCCCCGTATTGGGCGGCGCTCTCGTCGTCGAGCACGCTAAAATGCGATGGCCCCTTCAAGGCGCTTAGCCCCGAGCTCTGGGACCCGATGCTGCCCCTGTTAGAGGAGATCCTAGATCCGCCAAACTCCGAATAAGTGTCCTTTCGTAAGATAAACTTATCTACTATCGGCTTAACTCCCGGGATCGATAGGGCAATGAGCGTCGCGCTAACCTCGGAGACTTCGACGATAAGCAGTTTAAGAAAGGCAAATTTGAACGTTCTAAGTTCCTCGTCTTTAGATATAGCGCGTTAGTATAAATTCCGACTTAGCCGGCTCGGGGTTTACTCACTAACGGAGAAAACGACGAGCGCGACTCGACCACCAGAAATGCCTACTACGCTAATTATACGGTTAGAAAGCCCTCGCCTTATTAGTTCTTAGGTATGCTAGTACTTACATAAGGCCTAGTAAGAGGATATAGGCTAGTTAAACCTTTTATTTCCGTGGCATCTCTAGGATCTTAAGCATTGCTACCGGGAGGCCAAAGAGTAAAAAGTCGCAGGCGAGCGAGATGCCGGAAATGGTAATATATATCTAATACTATTGTAAGCACGTAGTATTCTAAAGCTCGTCGTCGTTAGATATAGGCATCTAAGCTATATTCATAGGCTTATAGTAGAAGATAATAAACAGCATCTACACTAGGTAGCCGACGATTAAGACTGCGAAGATAACCCTAATAGCGACGAGAAACTCCTTATATAGGGCATAGATGCGGTAGTAGAAGGCGAGGCCCGATACGCGGTAGAGCAGAAGCGCGGTGCTATAGATTAAATGCGAAATAGAGTCGATAATCTAGATTCTCTTAGCTATCGCTTCGTCGAGGACGAAATCGATAAAGGGAAAGGTTCGTCCGCCGCTAATATAGATTAGCTCTAAGCATAGCGCCGCGAATGGAATAATAATAACCTATCCGAAATATTAGCAGCAGGTCGTCGCAAAGCTCCACGCTCTAGGGCAGCTCACCAGCGACGCGAGCGCGAGTCTATCGTCGAGGCCGAGTCCGAAGCGCTTAATGATGAATTTCCGCGAGAGCAGTCTACATAAGACGATCAAAGTAGCCAGGGCCGTGACGACGACGATGCTAACGGTGGCCGAAAGGTCTCGGTTCATTTCGAGGACTGCGACGCTGAATCTCCGAGGCACGTTGCCAGCAGCCAGGGCCGCGTCAACTCGAGGGTCGCTTATATTGGCTCGATTATATCACGGTATTTAAATCTATCGACCGGCGCAAGACGAGAGCGGGACACGCGAGGAATTTGAAGATGTTGAAAGGTCGAGATTCCGCCCGACGTGCGGAGGAGAGCGTGGCTGGACCGCATGTGCTTGCTACTCTCCGCGTTTCGGTATCCGCATAAAGCCATCTGTCATTACTCGCATCATCCCGGCTTCTAGAAACCCTATGCCAAAAAGACAGCGTCTACGGAGCAATTCCCCGAGTGAAAGCGCCCGACTGCGAGGGGAGAGAATTAAGTCGGCACCAGACGGCAGGCCTACAGGCAGTCATCGTTCCACCTTCGCCACACTACTGCCTACTACACGTAACATGTTCAGGCAGACTCAGCCCTATCAGCTGTTGACTTGTTTGGCGAGCAGCTGCGACAGCTGTGGTGTAAGATGATCGCCGGATGGATTCAAACGCTGGGAGACTCTGCTGTCGGGAACAGTCATTGGATATGTGTCAATTGCAGCGCACCTGTTGGAGCGCGTTCCACTTTTGCCTGCATGGCGCAATGGTCTTCGAAACATCTGCAACAGCACCATTCCGGCGGCTCTTTTGCTCGGTTTCTCAGGCCGCCACCCCTACGCAAAACCTATTTAGATATATCCCCGTCAAAAGGGCTTCAAATTAGCGCGAGTAGTTGCAACCCGCTACGTCCTAGCCTGTCAAGATCAGGGTGGCGATCAATTCAATTCCATCAATTTGGCCTCATTATTGAGTTGCGTTGACAGCTTATTCATCATTGGTCCCGTTGAGTTGAACCACCTGCCTTCAGATGGGGGCGATGGAGTTGAATTGAAGACGTTGAACCACGTACGGCCCATGGGGTCGCCGAGGGCCCTAGCCGGCAGCATGTCCAGTATCATCCCCTAGACTCCATATAATGCTATTCGCATTCTCCCCTGACACGTCAACCAACGTATCCACGGCGTCGATTAGGCCATTCCGTACCCACGACCGTAACGTTTGCGTAATCCCTATCGTGCTGGCTTCCAATCGAGTCCGTAGCGGTGACACCATTTGCCCAGTGGTACTAAAGAGACGCTCGCACTCTGCGGACATGGGAGGATCGAGAGCAAGTCGAGAGCCATCCGCGACAACCGTGGGTAGTCTTTCCGCCTCTGCCACCAATACTGAAATGGGTTGGTGACGAGAGGATCATTCTCAGCGTCAGCACTCGACAGCCAGCGGTCATATTCATCATGGTCCGGATTCAGTGAACTTTCCAAAGAGGAAGATTCGTTGGGCAGCGACGAAGTCCTCTGGGCTCGGTGTCTCTCAAGCGCGCTCATTGCCTTCAGTCGCTTGTACGGACGCTCTTCGTCAGGCATCGGAGGATCGGCAGCGATTTGTACTCCTCCTCCCACAGGTTTCTCACCATTCCTTTTGCCTCCTGTAGCCAGGGGAGCTGTGCTTTGTCAGTCCATGTATTCTCGAAATAACCCCAACGCGAAACCGGATTTAAAATAGCAGAAGCATAGTATGCTGGCGTCTCGTCAAGCTTCGTATAGTAGTCGTTCAACTTATCCCAGCCCAGATTAATGTTAGCCTTGAGGTGCTCTGGATCGGGGAACTTCTCCGCTACTGCTTTCCACTCCTCTAGTCTGTCCATCAGGAATTCGTAGGTTGAGGCAACGTCCCACATATTTCCGTATGCTTCAATGCGGCCTCCTTTTCGAACTCGGCTCTGGGCGTCACCTTCTAGCATTCGGGTGCTTCTTCGAAGTCAACAAGCACCCTATCCATCAACCCAATGACCTTCCAGTCTTTATCGCTGAAGACTCTCCTCGCGGAGAGACAAAGGCATCTCTTTGCCCTTCTCATCCCATTGCGGCATTTTTTCCTGAACTCAAGCGTGACCTTCTCAGTCAGGTCTTCCAAGAAAGGCCGCAACTCAAGGCCGCGCCGTATCATATAAAGAGTCGAAAGCCAACGAGTAAGGTTATCAAGGACAACGTCCACAGGGTTCTTCGCTCGAACCTTGGGGTCGTCCGACTGTGAAAAGGACTCTTCCTGAAGCGCACGAAGCCGGTACGTCAGCTTATCGGACTGATGGATCCAATTTACTAGGTTGTGGAGCTTTCCGACTGGGCCTTTCTTTCGCCAGATTTCATGCTGGACCGCGTCAAGAACAGGCTCCCGTTAATCTCTGCCTCAAACGCGTCGGCCTTGTGTCCAAATAATAGCGCCTTGACCACCAAGTTGAGCACGTGGCCGAAGCATCGCACCCTCCGCTTCTTCGGATCAAAGCCCAGTGCCTCTGCAATCTCCTCTGTCGCCGTATCCATATTGCCAGCGTTGTCCAGTGTAATATAGCCCACCTTGTCGAGGATCTCATAGCTCTCTAGGATCTCGAGGATCTGGGCTGCAATGTTTTCTCCCGAGTGTGAGATCTTCAGCTCCGGCATGCCTAGGACAAGCTTTGATGGAACTCCATCCTTGTCGATGTAAAACATATAATCCCGTATAAAGCGTGCCGATTCCTGGAACGCCAGCCGTCGAACGCAATGTGAATTTGGCCCGGGTGCTCTTTAGATTGTCGATTACGCACGTCTTGTATCGGGTATAAAGGTCAACAATTCGCTTTCGAACGGTATCGTGCGAGATGTGGGCATTCGTCACTGCGACCGATGGATTCAGGTATTCGAAAATATGTCGGAGGCGACAGTGCTCGGGCTGGCGAAAGGAGACGTTGGCGTCGACCACCCACTCGAGAAGAAGTCTCTGAAAATGGTCCTTATCGAAGCGCTGGATGAGGGCGTTCGCGATACCTTGCTCTTTGGGGTCTGAAGCATTGAGGTTCAACATCTCCACAATATTCTTTGACGGGGTCTTGTCCCTGGTTCCTTTCCCAAGAGCGGGCGGCCCCCTCTTCCCGGACAGATCGACAAGCCTGTGCTCTTTGAACAGATGATTCTCGATGTTCTGAGTGCCAGCGGCAGAGAAGTCTGATGTTTTTTGCTTCGGCTTCTTGAGGCAGGGCTTGCAAACCCATTTTCTTTTCGTGGGAGAATCGCTAGGTTGAATGTCGAAACCATGCTGCCAGACCCACGAAGTCTGCCTGCCAGCACGCTCGGAAATCGTATAACCTGGAAAATGGTTCCATGGGAAGATGCTCCATTCGTCTTGCAAAGCATCCATGTTAACAAACGACTTGCTGGATGAGCCTCCGTCTGAAGCACGCTGGGGCTTAGTAGGAACGTCGGTTTCCATTTGGCCGCAGGAAGGGGATGCATTCGTTTGGGGAAGGTTTCTCTGCGACGCGACTCGGGGAACTTCAGCCCAAACGCGTTCAATCGCCCAGGTACTTATACATTCGTTACATCTGAAAACAGTATGGAATGGAAGTACTACAACACTCAATACGGTAACTAAGGCTAACCTTGAGGGTGATCACGCGAATCACGCGCGTCAGACGCGACTCGATTAGGTACCTAAGTGTAGATGCTACCTAGATCACCTCCTGCTTCAACGGCTTCAACGCGTGGTCAACGTTCGAGGCGGAGGCGTGGATTGAAGCTCTCAATGTGCAGGTGATATTGAATTGATTGAATTGAAACACGTGACTTCCACTTCAATATTATTGAAGACGTGGAGGTGGAGGTGGAATTGATCGCCACCCTGGTCAAGATCAGCTGGTGGCTCATTCGAGACGCTCACCGCCACTGCCCAGAACAGGCAACAGTCCACATGCTCTTAAAGCTTACGGTAGCTCACGCCGGATTTAAATTAAGAGCTGTTCATTGCTCGAGCCTAGGGGATCTTCGGCTTGAATGCTGTTCAGTCCTTGAAACATCGTGTGGTGTGCAGTGTACTTTTTGTAGTCTTAAACCTATCCGTTATGTCACACAGGAGATTTCAGCGCTGCAGGGTCGACGCTCCCTGCTTACTGCCTGGCAGGCAGCAGCTCCACTCACTCTTACAACTGATGTATTTAAGGATTGATTATTCCCACTCATTAGATAGGAACAATAGTCTTCCAGTCCCTGATCTTTATGCTCACTTGCTCATCCTCCGTGCGATACATAGCGTACCGTAATTACGACAGTCAAAGTCTCCCTGAGCACCACGCGCGATCGCGTTTTGGTCAGGATACACACCAATTACGCGCTAGACGTGGTAGTGGGGGCGTGTTTAGGTGTCCACACCTTTTGGGGCTTTCCACACCTTTTGTGCCCAACTACGGGGTAGGGACCCCTAGTTGGCTTACGAAGGAACCTGCCAACGGGTAGTAGTAAAGAGCTCCGGGTGGCCCGGGTTTGAGCCAGCACAATTCAGGGTTGCAATCCACTCCACTTCGGCCCTCAATGTAGTGGATTTAGAGGTGGCACGTGGCGGAGGAGGGTCCGTGCACACGCACGGATCACTAGGTGATCCTAAATCCACATGAAGAGCGAGTGGAGTGGAGTGGATTACAACTTGCAGTGAGCACAATTGTCGCGAAGAACGTCTCTCGATTGAGTCAGCCAGGTCACACATGGGTAGCTGGGCCAACAAGGGAGCTGTCAACCAGGTCAAACGAGAGGCTGGAAAGCTGCTATTTGAGACGGAACGTCTCCAGTCGAGAGGCTGGGGTGACCCAGCCTCCCTCAGCCCATTTACCTATACTACGAAAGAGGGATATAAATAGGGGCTTGGGTTTAGGGCAGAAAGAGAGGACGGAGATATGGAATACGATGAAACTACCTCATTACTACATTATATGCCTTTTCTGCTGACTTTCTTCGTGAGAGCTATGAGCCCAGGAGGGGATGGCTAACCACCCCTGTAACTTCCGGTAGCTGCGCGGTGCGGGGGTACCCCGCATATGGCTGTTGTCCTTCCCCTTCTTAGGTATCCCTTGGTCCCTTACCCGGATGCGGTGCATGGTGTTCGACTCCCGCGCCTGATTTCCAGGAATCCCGGCGGAGCCGCGATCCCTGAGGGGGTGTGCCGGGAACAGTCATTGGATATGTGTCAATTGCAGCGCACCTGTTGGAGCGCGTTCCACTTTTGCCTGCGTGGCGCGACGGTCTTCGCGACAACAATACTCGGGGTTTCACACTTGGCTAGATTTCTAAGATTTCTTGGCGAGTCGTGCACATTGAACTGGAGACATGTGTCTAGAAGCTCTTGCCTCTCATTTCAGTGGCCTTATTCAGCTGGCCGTAAATGTTACTTTGCTAAGAGTTCCACAGCTTCTATAGAGCAGCATATACATAAAAATACATCGGCCTTACCGGCTTACACGCATGTGCTTCTGACACCGTCCATATATAATTGTAAAGGGAGCCATGCTGCTTCACAATACGCAACAAACATCCTGTATCGGTCCGGATTCATTCAAAAATCTCTGGCAATTGTTTTCATCACATTATCACCAGGCCTCGTGGATGTCCAGCCATGTTTACACTACAACTCAGGAAGTAAAGACATCCTCGACGGTGCGTTACCCCATAAGGAAGAACAAAACGCTGTCCAGCGCTGCTCTTCGCCACACCAATTGTTCCGCAAGTCTCTCATAGCATTCCTATCGCGACTTGAACAAACAAATCCATGGAGCACAGGTAATTCGGAGATCCATACAATCACTTAAAGAAATATAAAAGTACGGAAGTAGCAGGGTTTCCTACCGATGACCGAAACTACGGTCATCGCCAGGATGCGCAGACAAGTCCAGAAGTCTTCCCCCCCAGAGTCATTACGCAGAGCCAGCCAAAGTCAATCGGGCAGTCGGAACAGATACATTGGACAAGGCCAAAAGGAGAAGCCCTTCATTCGCTTCTTCTCGTCAGTTTTTCGATTCCGCAGGAACAAGGCCAACAGGCCTGTGAAAGGCATCAATATCTCTTCGCCCATCATGACAACGCAGACGGCGACTTCCATACGACACAGGTATGGACAGGCGAGTGCTGCTCATAACAGCGAGATACCCACTACTTGCGAGGGCTGGAACGAGGCTGAAGATTCTGAGTCCGAATGGTACAGCTTTTGGGGTTAGAGGGGTCCAGAATTAAAGAATCACCAGGTATTACGAAGATAACAGTCAGAAAGAGACCAAATTCTGTCAGTAGAAACGACAAGTCATAGAAAATGGATAGTTCGGTTATTCTCTAGCCTGTAAAACGGCCGATAGCCGTTGGCCAGGTACGCAACAGATCAACTGAGTGGAACTCCCAAGTTCAGGTCGCTCATTCAGTGGTTCACTGGGCTTCAAAATAGGCATCGGGCCTTCAGCCAACGTTACGCTGCTGCCTGGGCTTACCAGCTCCCCCAACTTGTGTATTACCGGTAGGTGAACAACTTAACTCGACGTAAAAAGTAGAAACCTAGAGTAATTCGATGCCCTAGGTATTCACTGGGAATATGGCTCTTCTGGTTGCGTTTGAGCATCCCTATATGCAGTGCCGCTTACAAGTCGCGTCCCGGAATGTACTTTCCTGTCTGATGGTTCAAAGGATTCTTGGAACTAGCGGCCCATTCAGGCGCCACAATTAGGTTAGGGGTGTGGTCCGACGTGATAGGGATGGTGAGATAAGGACGAGCTGCATGAAGTTTTTGGTTTAGCCCTACGATGGTTTAACCAGGCGCCTTAGAGAGTTGACCTTTGAGAAATCCGTAAGTTAAGCTGAGAACTTTGCGGGTTATGCGCGAGCCAGGCATTTGCGCGCCTGGTCGAGGCGTTAGGACGCGTGTCAGGTAGACTACTTGAATGAGAGCTAATAAGCCAGCCGTTGATGGTCTCATGGCCTGGCCTCACGTTATGGTGAAACATGGCTGGCATCCGACATTTCGGCCCTAATAGCTGACTGTCACATAACATATAGGGTGCTATTATTCCACACTAAGAGTGGGCCTACACTTTTGTGTGGCGTAACGGTTATCTGACACTGACCCTAAGCTACTGAGAGCCGCGGGTTAGCGCCAATCCGATCGGAAGTTTCGGCAGTCTCACGCCCCACTTGTCTGACCCACCGATCGGATTTGGCGCTACCTTAGCCCGCGGCTCAGCCATGTTTCAATTTCCACGCCCCAATTTATATAGGCTGCCGAACTGCCGATCCCATTGGCGTTACCATCCCCCACCCCTCTTTCGGTAACACCCCTCTTTCGGTAGCGCAATTGAAAAAATCTCCACTAAAAGTAAGCCATTTAAACTACACAAAATATAAGCAGAACTCAATAATATAAATCTAAAAATTATATTATTCTATAGAGAAATGAATACTCGTATCCGTGCATGCGCTTTTATACTACTCTCCCGCATCTAGTGGTGACAGGAAGGGCCTTAGAGGCCGCCGTGACTTCGGTCACTGAGCTGTCTCCACCTCTGAGACCTTCTCCTCCTCGGTCGCAGAATTTAGCATAACGGGCATTTCTTAACTTCTACTTCGGGGAATGGCTTCCTGAGCCATCAAAGCTTCACTGAGAGTCATGAACTATATGATCGGGTTCTGAATTGCTCTCCTCTTCTTGCTTCTCTGCAGCCGGGCCACTTCTGCCTCCAGCTTCGCAATTCTGTTGCTATGCTCAGAAACCATTTGTTCTTGGGCTTCAAAGCCTCTAGCTATCACGGCATAACGCCTCCAAGTGCCAGGAAACTTGTTCTTTCCGAAACCGCGAGTCTGGCGGCTGGTTCTTGAGCAGGGTGGCGATCAATTCCACCTCCACCTCCACGTCTTCAATAATATTGAAGTGGAAGTCACGTGTTTCAATTCAATCAATTCAATATCACTTGCACATTGAGAGCTTCAATCCACGCCTCCGCCTCGAACGTTGACCACGCGTTGAAGCCGTTGAAGCAGGAGGTGATCTAGGGTAGCATCTACACTTAGGTACCTAATCGAGTCGCGTCTGACGCGCGTGATTCGCGTGATCACCCTCAAGGTTAGCCTTAGTTACCGTATTGAGTGTTATAGTACTTCCGTTCCATACTGTTTTCAGATGTAACGAATGTATAAGTACCTGGGCGATTGAACGCGTTTGGGCTGAATTTCCCCGAGTCGCGTCGCAGAGAAACCTTCCCCAAACGAATGCATCCCCTTCCTGCGGCCAAATGGAGCATCTTCCCATAGAACCATTTTCCAGGTTATTCTCACGAAGAAAGCAGGGCAAAGGGCATAAATTTTAGGGTGCATGTGTGTTCCTTCTTCCTTTCTGTCATAGGCCCTTTATTTATCCCCTTGTCCTGTTTCTTCCTCCGTCTTCTATCTTCTTCCTTGCGGACTTACTAA